TGAAATACCAAAGATGGGGTGACTCTTCTTAGCACTTGTGAGCCTCTCTCAATTCACATTATTGCTCTTCTTTCTTCTTGCATGACCCCATGCAACGTGCTCTAGGTGCCCCTGCTTGTGCAGAGGGGTTGGACTAGATGATCTCTAGAGCTCCCTTCCAATCTCAACCGTTCTGTGATTCTCTGCACTGCCTCTTCTCTGTACATTTCATTCTTGCTTCTTGAGACCTGCCTGGAGTGCTTGAAAAAGGAAGCAGGGTCCGTTTTCTCTTCATCCACTTTGAGGCTTGTGTGTCCCGGTTACTCATCTGTGGTCTCTAGTCTTCCTGAATGACAAATGGGCTTTCCACTCCCAGGATTTATTCCAATTGAGTATTTTTTTAAAAGGATTTTTTTTGAGTTGTTCTCCTTCCTTTTTCTCATGTGTTTCACTTGTGCACACAAATGTAAGGTGAAGTCACAGACATATGTCTATATAAAACACCACAGATTTGAAGAAGTACCACTCTAACATAAAAGGAAGTGAGGAATGGAAATAAGTAGCTTCAAGCTCAATTACACTGTGTTTTTGTTTTGTTTTGATAGTTTTTGTTTTTTCTTTATTTCTCAGGATGTCTAGTGCTTGTAAAAGGCTAAATATATTTTAAAATGGTGGTGTGGCGTTTTGTTATTTCTCCAACATGGCTAATTGACCTTGAGGAGGCGAGTGAGTTGATCCTTAGACCTGATGTGCTAGTAGAAGTAGTGCAGCGATACAGGTTACCATGCTGAAAATAAAGCAAGTGCAATAAAGCCTTCCTGCCCATTCTTTCTCTTGGAATGATTGCTATACTTGAGCAGAACTTAAGCTAAGCTGAAGATGAAAGGGGACATGTTTCATTAGCGGCTGTGGTGGTGCCTCATCTGGGAAGTTTTACAGCATGGGAGCAGTACTTAGTGCTGCAGTTAATGCTGTGCTAAGCTGGAGGTTATTTGAACTGATAGCAATGTCAAGGTTGCTGTCTGTACATCCCTTCATGAGCTGTATAAGGTTATTTATAGCATGTTTCAGTGTACATCTTTTGACTTCTTTTATAAATACTAGGATACAGAGTAAAAACAAAATAGAGCCTTTATTTTCACTGTTCAGATATCTTTTTAGCTCTTTACTGTGTGATAGACACTTGCTTTGGCAATAAATTCTTCCGCTGAAAACACAGCAGGTTGAACTGCATTAAATAATTCATAAATTAGTTTTGTTTTTCACATCACTTAATCATTTTGCTTTTAACAAAGGACACCGTAGGGGTGAATTGGCCTTTTTATTATTGGTTGCACATTTTTAAGGTGCAGCTTAGAAAAAACTTTTGGAAAATCATGATGTAAATTGGCTGGTTTTGTACTGCTTGTTTCCCTTGGTCTTACTGGTCAGAACCACTAGGAAAGGAAGGCTAAATGAATAAAGAAATGGCCAACTTTATTTTCGTTTTTTGAAAGCAATATAGAAAGCTAAAAATTTGATGCATCTTAACATTCCTCTTCCTTGTAATACATTTATTTTCCATGTTAAGCAGGAGCTTATGACTCAGCCTGGGAGCTGATGAAACAATTTGAAATGCATTCAAATGCGATCACTCTTCTTGGCTTCAAGGTTTGGTGCTGTGTGACTGGTTTTCCTTGTGTAGTTGAAGTGCTGAATTGAAGTGGTTTGTCCCATCTATGCTGCACGTTTTTTCCATATTTGACTCATTTGTTAACCCTGTCCATGAGTCAGGGTGTAGACTGAGTATCAAGAATAAATGTCCTCTTACAAGCAGGTTTGAAATGTCCAGTTTTAGACAAGATTCTTGCTGTCTTTTGAAGAGATTAATGATTTTTATCTGTGAATTAAATGTTGCCTCAGTGAGAAGGTCACTTCTTGGTATAGAAGAATGTGAAATCTCTTGTTGTAGATAGTCAGCACACTAGCGAGAGTCCCTGCTTTAGTTCTCTTAACCCTGAATCACTGTGAAGATTAAATGACTTCAAAAAGTGCAGTAGGTATTGGGTGAAAGAAGTGTCAATATCCTCAGCAGAAAATGGACCATGGCATTTTGTTTGCCTAAGAAGTCTCAGTAACGTAATAGGACGGTAGGAGAGGAAAAATGAAATACCTGGAAGAACTTGGAAGCCAAAAAGAAAAACCGGCCCAGATGATTTTGCTCAGAAAACAGACAATTTAGTGGTGAGTTTTGAGGTTTGTTTGCATAGCTTTGCCTTCACTGAAATAAAATACAACGTTATACAGCTCCCGCTTAAAATGATTTCTCTCTGTTCCCAAAGCCAGGAATGCAGTTTCTGCTCCATTCTCAAATTCGTGGTGCTTGTGGTCATAATGCTTATGCTTGAAACTTAGGAGACACAATCATGTGAAAGTACCCAAACAAAAATGAAATCCCACCTTCAACAAATAACATTGAGGAAGGCTGTCCTGAAGCTCCCTCCACAGCAGTCCTCTGGAAGGAGGAAGAACTAGAGGTTGCAGATAGCATTATTTGACAGATATTCTAATGTGTGTAAGTGTGGACGGGTGCGTCTGAAAGACTAATGTTTTAACAGGACACAGTCTCGTGCATGTCAAATTGAGATTAATTGCTTGTTTGTGTTCTAAATAAACGTACCTGGCCAATTATGAGATAACCATTAGTGCTTATCCCGGACTGTTTCCAATGGGTCATTCCAGTGAAGTTTTAAAAATCCTGTCCTTTAAAGGCTCATCAGTGTTTGAATGAACTTGTATTGTGTTCAGAGGTCTGTGTTAATACCAAATGCTCCTTCCCTTGGAGCGAACAGCTGGTCCTACCTTTCCGTGTGAATATGAGACTCTTCCATGTTGTTGATGGCTTGTGTGTTATGGTAGTTTAGCCCTTTGAGACACAAAAGGTTGAACAAAAGGTTGATGTAATTTTCTGATGATTGGGTTAATTACTGTAGTTAGCAAACGAAACTGTGTCTGGGGAAGTGAGGCATGTGAGTTGGTTTCCTAGGGCTTGAGTGGGGAATCCTTCCAGACCACTGCGATGGTTTCCTCAGAGGACCTGCTGTGATTGTCTCTTCTGGAAAGGTGTTATTTACTCTTACTAATCTTACCTGTTTTCAGAGAACAATCTTCAGTAAACATTGGGGAAGAAAATTACGTATGTTTGGCAGTCTTTGTTGCAGGATAATTTCTTCATGACAGTTATTCTCCTGTTCATATTGAGGAAGCACATTTGATATTCCAAGTTCTGTGTGAAGGGAAATTCCTTCCAGGTTTGCCAGGAGGGATGATCAGGGGCCTGGAACATCTGCCCTATGAGGAAAGATTGAGAGAGCTGGGCCTGTTCAGCCTGGAGAAGAGAAGGCTGAGGGGGGACCTGATCAGTGTGTATAAGGGGGCCGGCCTCTTTTCGGTGGTGACCACTGATAGAGCTAGAGGAAACGGCCACAAACTGAAGCACCAAAGGTTCCACAGGAACTGAAGGAAAAATTTCTTAACAGTGGGGGTGACAGAGCCCTGGAACAGGCTGCCCAGGGAGGTTGTGGAGTCTCCTTCTCTGGAGATCTTCACAACCTGCTTGGATGCTGCCCTGTGCTCTAGGTGACTCTGAGTGTGCAGGGGGTTGGACTAGATGATCTCTAGAGGTCCCTTCCAACCTTAATGATTCTTTCATTCTGTGAACTCCGTGCGCTTCCTTGAATGATTTTATATTCTTTTAATCTTGTGGGTTTCATTCATCATGAGACAAAGGCTGGGTATCAATGCTGATCCTTCTTATGTGGACAGAAGGACAGATGCCTGATAGAGTAAAATTTGTTAAAGCTACATGTATATGATTTTTAAAGCCACATCACCAAGTTTTATATAGCTCTTCCTGAAAGTAGCGGGAAATCTGTGATTTTAATGCGATGGGTTGGTAATCTCTTTGTTTCCTGATAACTTATTACTCAAGTTTAAAACTCTTAACATACAACTATGTAATGTCTTTAATCTTCAAGTATATATTTGGCTTAGCTCACCTTCAAATTAACTTGTGAAATGCTGAAACCCACTTGAAGTGCTATTAAAAGAAAATAGTGACCTCTAAGCCAGGCTTATTGCATATGAAATACATCCTAGGAACAAATAGATACCTGCGTAACCTTTAATTTGAAGTTTGGTGTTGGAGGGCCTTCATGGAGCTATTAAGTCCCAAGTATATTAGGAGCCTAGTTAGTAATAAATATTTTTTTTGTGTGACATTTGATATATTTAGATCTGTGATTGTAACATTGTGCTGCCTGTGACACTTTAAACCTAACGAGCAAATGCTGGAGTGGAACCTTATAGAGCTGCAGTTTCTGTGCCCTGCGTGAGACCTGCTCCGTTCCTGCTGGAGCACCTATAGACAGGCACCTATAGGCTGCTGTATGGGGCGAGCAGTACTCTGGCCATACGCTTGAGGGCTCTCCAGACTGTGAGGAGCGGTGCGGACGCTGCTCCACTTGAAGAATGTAGTTTAAGTAGATTGGTGCAATGTACCTACGCAGGGTTTAATGCTCGCTGGGCTATTTGGCTATTTGCCATAATTGGCTTTCCATTCCCTTGATTGGAATTATAGATAAAAAATTTGCTAATCCACTTTCTTTGCTGGAAGTCTTAGAAAAGTAATCCATCTTTTAAAAATGCTCGAGCAAAATCGTACAGTATAAAGAATATTTTATGGAATAATGAGATTAATGAGGACCGTGAGGCATATGTAATTTAAAATAGTTTTCTATGGTTTTAAGAGTATAACACAATCTGGGTGCTATAAAGCCCTAAGTACTTCCTTTTCTTAGGCACGCGGAGGAATGAATTTTCTGTGCGTTATATATTGTGCTTTCTGTATGTGAATATGTGTGTATATATCTGAATATATATGTTGTATAAGGAGTAGTTATTTGTATTTTTCTTATGGATGAAAATACTTGATTTCTAAGTTGTGTGTGCTGTTTCCTCCCTCTCCGCTCTTGTGCCTGCAGGGGATCAGAGCACGTATTTTGGAAACTCTTGTAATGCTCATTCTTCTTGCACTGCTTATCCTTGGAATCGTATGGGTTGCTTCAGCTCTCATAGACAATGATGCTGCCAGTATGGAGTCTTTGTATGGTATGGCATTTGGAGCTTGTTTCATTATGAAAGGGATGTTTTTAATTCAAAATTCTAGTAAATTCCATGCACAGGTTGAGAAAGTGTATCAATTTGGTCAGTAGTTTGTCCTCTGTTCAGTGATTTTTTGTTTATAATCTCCCTTCTTAGCCTGCTGAGAAACTGGGTGCTCTGTGGACAAGCTGTTATATATTTATGCTAAAAACAAGTTACTTAAGTGGCAGCAGCAGTTGGAGGGGGTTAGTTGGCTGCAGCCTTGCAAAGTGAGTCAATCTAAGAACACAGTTGTGCAGCCTTGGAGAGGAATGTGTCAGGAAAGAAGTCAATGCAGTTGTATTTGTGATACCAGAAGCCTATTGTGAATAAGCTAAAGTGGTGCTCAATATTTCTTTACAGATCTCTGGGAATTCTACCTCCCATATTTATATTCTTGTATATCGCTGATGGGATGCTTGTTACTTTTGTGTAAGTATTCTCTCGATTCTTCCAAAAGAGTAGTATTTGTTACTTCTATGAGTGAAGAAAACTACTGTTCACTTTGAAATATATTTTTAGAGGAAAATATTTATTTTTCATTAAGCTTAACATTCAGTAGAAGGACTCTTCTCTGCTGTTACAAATCCCATTCTTATCCTACAGGCTTCAGTATTTGGATGCTATTCTTTCTAAACTGCTGATATTGGAGAATTATTAGTAAAAATGATGATTCGTGAGCCTTCCTCCCAGCAGGAGCTATGCCTGGAAATGCTCTCATTCATGCATGCTGCTATCCAAAGGGGCCAGGTTTTCTTTCATTAAAGAAAATCAGTGGCTTAACTGAGAGCTTCCCTTCTACCAAGGGAAGTTGCTGCATAACTTCCATAGCAAAGAAACATCTCGATCTCTTCTCAGCTCTGTAGCTGCGTCTGCATCGACAGAGGGATCCATCCCCATCCCTGCCTTGCCGTTCCCAGGAGGAGGAGGAGGTGCTGCCCGTGTCCCACGTGCCAACCGTTCTGGGCTGTGGGAGCTGCACCTGGGAATTGTTTGGGAAGGTGCTGCCTGGCCCAGGGCAAAATCCTGCCAGGGATAGCTGTGTTTCCCGGAGTAGACGATCAAGCCTCAGGAATGTTTCCTGGCACTGCCCCGTTCGCTGGTGTAGACATAGCCTCTGGTGCCACGTGCTTTGAATAAATAATTACCGAGCAAGGTCAGATATAAGATTATGTGCTGTGCTGCGATGGCAAAAATCACTCACCACCTCTGGGAGTTGCTCGTCCTGTTCAAAATACATACAGCAGCAGCGAGCTTTAACGTGTGGGTTCACATCCATCACACCTCCCTTGAAAACTGTGCTTGGCTGTTCTGGAATTGCACATTCAACATGCAAAAATAAAAGAAGAGGCCTTTGGACTTGCAGCCTAACTGCCCTTTCCCGCGTTGTGTTCCCTCTGCAGTGTGCACTCCCGTGGGCCTTTCGCGGATGTTTACAGTAATGGGCCAGTTGCTGGTGAAGCCAACAGTAAGTGCTGCCTAATTCTGCCCTCGTGTGCTGTGCGTTAGCAGCTACTGCAGCAGCAGCATGTTAAGGGCTGTCTTTCCCTCCTCTTCCTCCCCTTTCACAACGTATGTACTTACACATAACCTTCTCTTGAGCTCATCTGAGTTTCTAGAGCTAGTATTTATATACATACTATTTTTAATAGATTTTTTTCTGCCTTTATAAGAAAAAAACACCCCTTTTGCTGGTACAGACATTCCCTCGTTTCTCACGTTTCACAGCTGTTGTCAGTATTACCACTTGTTTCCAGTATTGCCTGCTATGTCCAGGTCTTACAAGTGCCTGAAAAGTTTGTTTCTGTTCCAAGTTCAGGAGCTAATGGAGCTAAGACCAAACTAAAGCCAGAGGGCAAAGGAGAAGGGAGCTCCTTATGTCCTCAGTGGCATTAGCCTGGCCTTTGGGTACTTGATGTCTCTAAGAACCTCTTCAGCGTAGAGACCAGGCTGTCCTTGTAGGAAACTCCATGTGAGGGCAGGGAAGGTTTGTACCATGCAATAATGCTCTGGGGGGCCTTGTTGTCAAGTTTTCCAGTTTGTGTTTATTGAAATCTGGACATGTTTAGGGCTTACATCCCTCTTCTTTGTAGTTTCAAGGTTGAACTGAATATGAAAACATATAGAGCTTTTTTGCTCTCTATAAGCTTTAAAGTCAGCGCACTTGATCGTGCTAAGATAAACAGTCTCACTATATTTTACTTTTAGCTTCCAGAAGAGATGGATATGGCTTGAAATATTGACTTGTATGAAAAATGACTTTTGCAAAAATGTATAGTTTTTTGATTATGGTTTTAAACACTTGAAGTTTACAGTGAAAAAAAATAATTCTGTAATAGAACTGAACTTCTATGGTAGTCTTTTCTTGTATCAGTGTTGTAGAATGTGTGTGTGTGTGTGTGTGTGTGTGTATTATATATATTCAGTGTAAATGCTGCTGAAACAAAACAAGCCTGGCTACTTTACTGCAGGTGAATGTTTCTGCTCATAATCAATTCATGTTTCTGTTCCCACGTACAGATCCTTGAAGACCTGGATGAGCAGATGTACATCATCACTTTAGAGGAAGCAGCAATTCAAAGGAGGCTTAATGGTATGCATATTCTGGAATTGCTTCAAATCTAGTGCTTATAATAGAGTTTTTTGTGGTTTTTTTTTTTTTTTCTATTTTTAGCATGTTCCTCAGGTCTAGTGCATGAATATACTGAGACTGAGAACCTAAATGGAATAGCTTAGCAGAGCCACCACCCTTACTGCAAACTAGTCTAGGTTGGCAAATGACCATATTTTAGTCTAAGAAAATATTAGCAAGAGGCTCAGCTTACTGCACTGAGAACTTGTTTGTTTTGTTTAATGAATTACTAATGTAAATTCTCAATAGCATAATAATTCTTCGTATTCTAGTTGCTATATGGTAAGTGTAATAATTTCTTTGCATGCATTACAGTGAATGATTACATAAGTACTAAGCTTCGCAAGCTTAGTTTTACAATTTTGTGCTCTTATTTTTTTGAAGTGTTTCAATATCAATAAAAAGTTTTACTTTGTAGGATAAAGAATATTACAGCACTGTGGACACCATTTACAGCAGCTGTATTGATTCTAACTCTCCTAATCTGGTGACCACGTTATTAAAGTTCTCTTCTAAACTGCTTTTCAATGTGTGGGTCGATGAAGCATCCACAGCCTACACAATCACTCAAATTGGGCAAATGAGGCATAGTCATGTCATGACTTTTTTACATTGTTATTGTTGTTCTGAAAGGCAAATAAGGTTTTTATCTTAATTTTCCTAATTTCCTCCATGTTTCTTGTCCTATTCTTTCTTTTTTTCATCTACCTCAGTTTTTCTCTCTCCTAAATCTCTGTATGTCTCTTCTATATAGCTTGGTCAGAGAATCTGTTAGAATATTTAGGCTCAAATTTTGAGCTTCCAATTTCCATGCTAGTTCTGACACTTTGGGTACGTCTGGATCAACATTTCATGGGGGATAATTGTGTTCAGTGCCTTTAACAATATAGAACATAATAGTTATCTTTACTCCTGTGTTGAAAGCTTGGGGAAAAATAATGACTAATTTTTCCATGCTTTTAGTGCTCTTCATTCGCAAGGGGCAAACACCCATTTTTTGGAAACATTTTTACTTAACTTTCTGAAGTTATAAGCATCTTGACAGCATTCATCATTGTACTTTTGTCCCAGATTATGTCTTGCAAGTAACATTTACCTTGGGTTTGGAAGCTGTTTTTGCATGGACACAGGCACGTGTGTGCACACAAACAGTGGTGTGTGCAGCAGATGTCTTTGAAGCTTTGCTGGGGTAATTACTATTATTGCTGTGTTTTTGGTGTTAGCTAGCAACTGTAAATTATTTGTTACCAAATATGTTATATTGTCATGCTGATGATGCTTACCTACAAGGAAAGCTTTACCAAAAAACGACTCAGTAGTTACTCAGGTATCTATTAGAAGTAGTGCTGAGTCGTATCAGCCATTCGAATGGAGAAGATATTTCAGATTTTTTTGCTTTTTTTCCTGTGTATGTGTAAGGGCCCTTGCTCTTGCCCTCTTGCTCCTGAGATGTGGAAGACACAGGGCTTGAAGTTGTTTCAGGAGAGGGAGTTGAATTGTTTCACGTGTCACAAATCGAGGGAATGGCGTTGGCACTGCCAACGAAAGGAATGATTGAAAACCTGCAGTTTGGTATACAGAGAAAATTAATGGGCTTTCACTGAAAATTAGATAAAAATTAAACTTGAAAATAGCGTGTAGGTGGAGGAGAATATATTGTGTGTGCAAGGAGATATTCTGCAAGATTTTTATGAGTAATTGTTTAAGTAATTTTAAGTGTGGTTCTTATTTATGTGGCAAGGATGGAAACCTTCATCACCTCTGCCAGAACTTTCTACTACAAATTACACCAGAAAAACAAATACAGTATTTGTTGGAAGTACAGAGGCTTAAGTACCTCATGCTCAGAGTGTTTACTGCATTTTGTTGAAAGGTGTGCAGGTTAAGGTGTGGTGCTAATTACATTAATAAGTGTAGTGCTCCAGTGTTAGAGACCCTACTCTGGGATTCACCATGAGGACTGTGTAAGTGATTTCTGTGGCTCTGTTGGAGCTGCTGCATTAAGCTAAGGACTTCTGTGTTGTCTCTGCAGTTCTTCCACAGTTTTAACAGTGGCAATGAAATATTCCAGGTATTAAGGGCTCTAATTCAACTAAGGCTGCTGGCTAGTTTAGCAACAAAGTGTTCTGAAACATATACTCCACTTATATGAATAACTAAAGAGTTATTTTTTATTAAAATTAAAGAAGACGAGAGCACAGGCTCCAGCAGTACATGGTGATGGTCAGTGCCGACTAATTCTTGGTAAATAATTGCTGTCAGACTCCTGGCACTGCTTGGGCCTCTCCTAATGCTTTTCCAGACAACACCTGGGCATAGCAAGGGAGTAGCCTGAGTCACTGTTTGCACTGGTTAGGCTGGGTTAAAGCCTCTGGTTTGGGAGGAGAGTTTAAGGGCGAAACTATGAGCTATGTGGCTTTTATTAGTGTCGATGTAGCTGTCGTGGCTGTGGAGCCTTTGACAGCATTTTCTGCAAGCCTCCTCGTATTTGAAAATAAATCTAACTATGGGAAGCATGTTTTCTTTGTGGAAGCAATATATATTTTTTTTCCTTCTCGGATATCTCTGATGCATAACTGAAAAGTGAGGAGGAGGGAGGGAAAGTTTGATCATGCTATCTACCCTAGTATTTCTATCTATTGAAGAGATACTGGGCTTTGGGAAAAACATTTGTTTCCAGTGTATTATATTTCAGTACCCACATCACTCCTACAGTAGAAGAATAAAGCTGGGACTTTTTTTCTTTCAATATTAAAAAAAAAAAAAAAAAAGTTGCCTTCAGCTATTAGTTTTCCTGAATCCAAAGAGACGGGTGGGGTAGGATCAAAAATACTTACTTGATCAAAGTTATTGGCTCTGAAGGTATCCTTACCTATGTAAGAAAGATGAAAGGTGTTGTTTTTATTGCACGCTAGTAACAGTGTAATTTTGAACTAATTGGTGTTGAACTGCCAATCACCTAGGGGGAATGCAAATAGATACTTTTACAATTTCCTTTGAGGTACTGAAATCTTATGTCGGGGCTGGAAGAAAAACAGAATAATACCGTTAAATTGACCTTAAATGAGCTGCTTTGTGGCTTTCTCGGAGAATCCCTTCTGACTTTTCATTGCTAGTCCAAACAAGTCTTGTCTACCCATTTGATTTATTGGCTAGACAGCGCTGACATTGAACTTTGTGCATGTTTGAAATACAGCTAATGTTAGAGAGCTTTAAGAATTGAGGTACATCCTCTTCAAATACACTTTTGACTGATCTAAAACTTTGCCTTCCCCTCTTGTAAAATATCCTTTTGCATAACAGCCTGCTATTTGCTACCAATTTTAAGGAGGAACTACAACTCTTATATTTGATGCAGAATTTCTACTGAATTTTTTTTTTTGGATCTAATTCAATTACATTGCCTTAGTTGGAAGGATTCCCATGGATATGGGTGTCTTGAGCTCTGAATTTTCATATTAAAAGGGAAAAAATATATCTCCTGTCAATAAGACTTCTCCTCAGAGAATGAATTTTAGAGGAGAAAAAAAATCCAACATGAACTTTTTAAATACTGTATTTTCAATTGCTTCCAGTTAAGCTCATGACACTTTTCTGCCTGCAATTAGTCATTCTACAAAACAAATGTTTCAGACTCTGTAAATCAGTGTGTAGGGAATACCTCAGTACAAAAGCTTATCTTCATTCTGAAGAGACCTGCTTAAAAAGCTTTTCAAAAACAAACAAACAAACAGACTTGCCTGCTTCCCTAGTAAAATACTCTGAGAAATCCAGTTGACTTTAGTATTGTAGATATTTCAGTTAAAGCAGCTAAATACTGCCACAAAGCTGGTGGTTTATCCTGACTTCAGTTGCTTGGCTATTGGTAATTCCTGGTAATTGGTAAAATATGTTTTATGTCACTGGTGCATGTCACAGTTATGGTTATGACTGGTTATGTCAGTGGTTTATGTGCAACAGAGCTGACATGTTGTATGTGAAAACATACATGCAAATGTACATGTCCAATTAAACATTGCAGAAATAATTTGGAAGCATTTAGACACCTGTTTGAAAATCGATATTGCCTTGAAAAATAAATACAATCAAAAGCATCACTAATTGTCCAAGACTCTGGTTTATCTTGGTGTTCAGATAGGCCCTTGCTGGGTCGGAGGCAGCGGGGCTGGTGGTGAGAAGTTTGTCCCCTCATCTCGGGCTGAGGTTGCTGCATCAACAGGGAGCCAAGAATAAGGAAGGGAGACTGGGCCGTAAGGTAGGGTTAGGATGCCAGCAACCTGAGTGCTGTTTAGTTTTTGCAGGCAAATGGTTAAGATCTGAGATAAAAGCCTAAACAAAACTGTTAAGTTTCATGGAGATTTATTAGAGATCCTTTGAGAAACAGTATCTGAACACTGTGCTGTTCCCTTCCACCCGGAATCAACGGTGATGCCAAGAGTATGGGAATGGCTGGTAGGCAGAAGGGTGTCTGGGTGTCCAAGTAGATCAAGAAAGAGGGTATTAGAGAGGACCTGGAGTTTACTGAGACCTTGAGCTGATGCCACCACAAAGTGTTTTGGCAAGATGAGACTGGCTTCGAGAAGGCATTAAATATATATAAATATAGAATCCTCTGAACTCATTCTCAGGTGGCAGGATTCATAAATAAACAGGATGTGAGTGGGACAAAGGTGAGGGTGGAACCCACTTTCCGGCAGATCTTAAAGTACTTGCAGTTTGTGCCTGTGAAGAGTAGGAGCTAAGCTAAAGGTAATGGGATCAGAACTGAAGGAGAGGCTCTCGGGACAACTTCTTGAAGCTTGAACCCTGAGCGCTTACTTGAACTCTGCTGAGAGAGTGGAGTCAAAAGAAACCACTGTGTACAAGATGGACAGTTGGAAGACAGAATAGGAGGTTGAAGAGGAAAGGAGAGAGAGAGGAGAAATAGGCTGGATGTTCTGAGGTATGTGGAGAGATTGGAGGAAGAGATCGCCTGATCAGTGTATTTTTATAGAGGGGGAAAAAAGCGGGGGAAAGATGAGTAAGGGGGAGAGGAGCCAATACTGCGTTTGTCTATTTTCAGCTGGTGTGGCACTGAGTTTGAGGAGCTGGTTCCTAGTGACGTACGTGCGAGGACTGTGGCTCTGGTGGCAGCAGTGAGGGGGGCTCTGGTGGGTGGCGGCCGCTTGGAGGCCGCTGCCCTGCGCGGACTGAGCACCTCAGCGTGGGCGCCTGGCGTCCATCTTGATATATAAACGAGATGGAGGCAACCGAGTGAGGCCTTCAAACCATTCTGCCTCACCAAAATTGTTTTATTTTGGAACTGTGCATCTCAGATATCTGTTCTCCTCTAATGCGCTGTGGCTGGCTAGCAAAATAGGAAGGGATCCCAGTAGATCACACAGTTAAACCGCTGATGTGGAGAGCTCTTCTGCTTAGACAAAATGAGAGGGTTCTTGACTAAGCCTCTTGTTTGAAAGGTATTAAAGTATCTCAGCGAGTTGCAGTTTTGAGGCAACAATATTAATGTCTTGTAAATCTTGTATAAAAAAAAAAAATTCCCACTACATCTGTCTTATGGTAGTGTAGTTAGTGCCATGCAAATTCAAATTGTCTTTGCTTCTGACAGGTATATCTTCCACAGTGGAGTATCAGACAGCAGACTTGGAGCGGGAGCTTGAAAAAGTGAAAAGCAAGAAAACAAATCTAGGTACGATTTAATAAACAACTTTAAGATATCTGCAATGTGTAAGTGTCACCTGACCGTTACCAATTTTGATGGTAAGCAAATTTGTATGTTTGCAGCCCTTTCAAACTTCTGTCATTACCACAGAAGCATCACATGGAATCACTCCACTCTTCTAGCAAACAAATTTAACAATAGCAAGTCTGATTTGAATATTATCTCTACTGTAATTTTAGAGACATATTAGCATTTTTGACTTCCTGATATGCAGCTTAGTATCACATTATTTTGTAAACTGATTTATGTTTATGATTATTTGGACTGACCCTAAGACACTGGTTTCCTCCTAGTGTTTGAATTGCCTCTAGAGCAGTCATATTGTGCTTAAAAACAATAAAATACTTCGTAGTTGGCTCGTGTATTTTAAAGCTGAAAAGTGATGCTTCCTGTAAGGGCAGTGGCTGAAGAAGAATCTCCCTTTCTACTAAAAAACTTGTAAGATTTTTGCTTTGATCCCTGTGAGGATCAAACATGTAGGTAATATTCTGCTAAGAAAAAAGTTGTTGGGATTTTTGTTTTTAGAAAGACTGGTGATGCCCAGTAAATTAGTCTCATCTTTGTGCTATAAGAGGGCACACCTCAATGAATACACCTGAAAAGCTTCTACTTCCTATTATATATCTCAGTATTAAGGGTAGTGCTACCTTATGGCAGCCCAGACTGGAGTACAAAGTTACCTAAGTGGCTTGATTAACCGTGCAAATAGCATATTTTCCAATTGAATATATTTGAAATTTTGCAAAACTGCAGTATGCAAGAAAAAAACAACATGGCAAAACATGACCTCTCCTTAAATAGACTTTGTATTTTTAGCATTGCTTGGTCTGCCTCTTCAGGTTGGTTATTATTAGGAACTGTTTGGTGTCAGTTCAATCTAAAATTATTTTGTTACTTATGGTTATAATAGGAATTTATAGATATCTAACTCTTTGTTTTAATCTAAGGTATAATGCTTGTATATTTTGGGTTTTTTTTTGTTTTCCCCTTTTCTGAACAGAGCGTCGGAAAAAAGCTTCTGCTTGGGAAAGGAATTTAGTCTATCCAGCTGTTATGATATTGCTACTGATTGAGACGGTAAAAATTTTACTCCCTTTTCAACAGAGAGCTTGTGAAATTCCTCAGTCATTTGGGTAATGGTTTTAACACTTCGGGATAATGTGTATTGAAGCAACAAAGTTGGTGTTCTTCTCTTGGCCTTTTTTAGAAAATCTTAAAGCTGTGAAATCTGGGGAGGATCAATATATACATTGTGTAAATGTGGAAAAAATAGTGAAACCACTTTTATTTTTTATTTTCGTAGTCTATTTCAGTCTTCTTAGTTGCTCTCAACATTCTTTACCTGTTGGTTGATGAGACTGCAATGCCAAAAGGATCGGGGGTAAAGTAAACTCCTTCTTTATGATTTTGATAAGTTTAGTAAAGCCTTGTATGGTAGAACTGCTTTAATATTGAAAATAATGGGCCTCAGTCTTGATTTAGTTTGTCTTGTACACATGTAATGAAAACAGATTGAAAAACAATTTGAAAAGCTGGAGAACACTTGTTCCTCTCTCAAAACATGGTTTACCTTCATGGAAATTACGAAGGTTTTCAGTCAGTTTGGTAAAACTTTCTACTTCATGCTTTGTGCATGTACGTTCAGATTGAAATCTCTTAATGCTCTTAATTACTGTTAATTCTGCATGCATAAAATGAGCATAATGGGTATGTGCAGTGTGCATAAAATGTGAATTGTAATACTGGAAAGCTAAAAAATGCTCCTCTATCTTGGTAATACGTCTTGCTCAAGATTACAAGTTAGCTGATACAATTGCGTAGAACGCGAGACCTGCAGATCAGTTCATTGTAATGAAATACTTGAGAAAAACACTTTATATCTTCCAAAACATCTTTTTATTTGGTACAAGTTACTTTATAAACAGTTATGTGCTCATTAAACCATCCAAAGTATTTTTCTCCTCGCAGGGCCCTGGAATAGGAAATGCCTCCCTGTCCACTTTTGGTTTTGTGGGAGCAGCACTTGAAATCATTTTGATTTTGTATCCTTTCTCTAAGAATTCAGTCTGTTAACAAGTATTCTGTCTAGTTTTCTGGGACACTGGTAATTTACTAAGACACTTGCCTGGAGAGAAGAAAGGACAGGTCAGTCCTTCTGAAGCACTCCAAGTGTTTGTGTTTTTTTTTCCTGTGGTTCTTAAGACTTTCAGGAGACTGCTGAGATCTTGAGTGAAGCTTGCATTCCTCCGAGGCTCCTTTTTCCTTGATTCTCACAGCTATCTTATGGTATCTTCTGTCGTCGGCTTCTACAGCCTTCGTTTTTTTGAAAATTTCACCCCCAGGAAGGATGACACAACTATGACAAAGGTAAAGGCTGGGATGGTGACGACCCCCTCCCCTCTCCTGTGCCACCCAAGACAAACTGACTCTCTTAGTTAGTAATTGCCCTGAATGGCTCATTTGCAGTGATCAGTATTTGTTTGTAAGCTGCGTAAACACAAACTGGAAGATTTTCAAAATGCTGAATGAGTGGGAAAAAGGATGTGCTCTGTTTAGTTTGGATGGCATCCATTCACTTGTAAAAAGGCTGGAATAGCAGAGCTTGTTAACTAGCTATAGAAAAGCTAGTGAAAGAACTTGTTTCAAAGGAAACGTATTGCTAATGAGTAACTTGGATTGTGCTAACTGTACTTCAGGGAGCTTGTTTGAAATCTGAAGAACTTGGTTGCTACAAGGCCTGCAGACAGAGTAATTCAAATTTGAATAATTAAAGTAAGACTGAGGCTGTCTATTCAGCAGCGTTTTCCAGTCTGAGGCTAATTTGACTTTGTACAATTTAACACTGGCTTCAGAATAGATGCTCTTACCTAGTGCTGAGGAACATGCATAGGTTTCTGGCAAAATATTCCCACAGCTGATGAGGGGAGGTGATCAGTAAGAGAGAACCAAATGTTAAATTTAAGTATTCAGTGTGTTTCATTGTACAAACTAATTGATAGAGCCACTTATTTTTTACTGTAAATTTTTGGAAGTGAAAAAGGAGGGTTTTTTTGTAGAATTACCCAGGCAGATGAGTAGGAGGGCATTGTTCATAGTTTTCCATTGCTTGTTTACAGGATACGAAGAGTAATGTAGAAATAATTAGTGAAGGCACAAATGCCTGTTGACTCATCAGAATCTCTGTGTTTTGTTTTGTTTTTATTTTGTTTTAATTTTCAGTTCCTTTATTCTGGATTTAGAGCTGAAGATGGTAATTCCCTGAGAGAGAAAGAAGCTTCAGTCACTCTTTATAAGAGCTTCACAAAAGCTGGAGTAAAATCTAAACAGCTGTGAATTTTTCCATACCATTTGAAGTAGTCAGCGGGCATTCACTTGCAAGGAAGCTCTTTGTAGTGTCTTAAATAATGCTAATCCTGTAAGAGTTACCTATAAGCTTAAGCTGATGTATAAATCATCTATTCCAGGTGCTACAATAATTCTTATATAAAAGTTAGCAGGAATTAGGTAAACAGTTGATGCTTTGCAATATGCTAGTTTGGAGATATTTTACATCTAAGTATAAAAACACCTACACCTAACAACTTCAATTTAAGAACAAATAATCCTGTGTTTACTTTCTGTCCTCCTTGGCAAACGTGAGCTGTATAGCACCATATGGAGAAGCATGGCAGAGAAGCAAGACTAGCAGTGTGGAGCTGGCAATTCCTTGAGGTTCAGTTTAGCCTATGCAGCTTTGAGGAGTTGAGGATGGTTCTTACCCAGACCACTGTTTTTTGGGGGACAGTCCTGTTTATAGTTGATGTGTTCGTCTTCTTTTCTACAGATCATTGGGAACTGTGTGTCCATCCTGGTGCTGAGCTCCGCGTTGCCAGTCATGTCACGAACGCTGGGTGAGTTGTATGGAAGAATAAAAGAGGAAAATAAAGGTGTTATTGGAGGAATTGAAAAAACGATGACAAACCTGCTGCTGGCCTTTATGGCATTTGCTTCGCTATTGATTTCAGTGAAAATCGCATGTGCACGTGGCCTTTTTTTCCACATGAGCATTGGTTCTGTTTAAACACCAGAGAATGTGCATTTAATAAAGATGCTAAGCGTTTTCTTGGTTATATTCTTTTAAAAAAGCAGGCCAGATCAACTTAAAACAGGGGATGATCAGAAGAACAGATTTGGCAAGTGTTAGTTCAGTGAAAAGTAATTTCATGTTTGTTATCTTACTACAACTTCTTTTTATGAACAAATATATTTTGAGGATTTTGTGAATTAATTTTGTGATTGTAATATCGAATGCAAGTATGTGTGTAATGAGAAGAGCACTATTAATATCCTAACTTTGTGATGGCAATATCAAAAAGCAGCCTATTTGCATTTTCCTTAAAATCTGCTTGTGATTTCTTTTTTGTGTTCTCCAGTTTTCAGACATTTGCAATCTAGCTTAATTAGAACTCAAGAAATTTTGACTTTTCTTGTTAGGAACTGCCAGGAGTATGAAACTGTTTTAGCAACTTGCAAACACAAGGTACTTAGTGCCTTAGTTTTATTTAATTGGCTGATTTTCAGTGTGAATTCTTGAAGCTAGCCTGTAGCGCTGCCATGGGTTAAAGGGGTACATGCAGAGGACTTGCAGCTAATGTGAATGTCATTAAGAATATTGCAGACAGAATAAAACTGTCGGAAATATATAACTGTCGGAAATAAAAATTTCGGAATTTAGACTCAGGCCCCAGACTGGAAAAGTTTCATAGCTGGTTATCTTTTCAACTAGAGTGCTCTCAAATCGATAGTATGCAGAATTTTGCAATAAGCTGTACTATATTTTTATGCTGTGTATATCAACACATGAAGAGTCTTATTTACTAAATCTAATTGATTAAAAAAAAAAATTCGTCAAGGTAAATAGGCAAATGCCTTTGTAGTATGATATGTTTTGGAGATTCCAGTTCTGAGAAAATACATTTACAGGTGTTTCCCTTTTAAAAAATCTGTTGTGAAACTTAACCAAAATTTGAAAGGACAATTCAAATATTTAACGCAATTTAATTCTAAAGAGCTAATTCTAAAGAGATGATAAAGAGCTAAGAACTCACTGTTCTTTCACTTACAATATGTTGTGTTAGGAAAAAAAGAGAAAGTGTTTTGGATTTTTTACAAATATAAGTAAGTCTGCAATATAAGTATTGGAGTTTCCAAATATAAGCATTGTCTCCAAAAACTTAGGGCATGTCAATTTTTAATTAAAAAAGTCGTTGTTAATGATCTATGAGATTAACAGCTGATAATAAACAGATTCTGTAGAGGAAAGTGGACATGCTGGGTGTGTTGTTGTCACATAGGAAACAGATTAATGGTAAAACTCCCTTTAAAAAAAAAAAAAGGAAGAAAAAGGCTAACAAATGAAATTCCTGAATAGTTTGCCATAGAGATAAATAAAAGAAGAAAAAAGATGGAACAATTAACACACAGCTAACAAATGCACAGACACAGCTGTCCAAACAGGATTAATAGTGTATTAGAGTACAGTGAGTCATGTGGTGCTTTCAGAAATATCGTGTATTGCATTACATGCTACCGCCCTGTGGCACTGAAGAGATGAAAAGAAATAAATGTTAAGCAGATTCATAGTCTTTTCACATTATTAAAAAAGCAAGCTTCTAGGCTATGCAAAAAGGAAAAAAAAAAAAAAAAACCTGGACTTTATCATTATGGAAAGGTAAATTAGCGAAAGTTACCCAATACATGCACTGACCTCTTTCAAGTTGTAAAGATGGAAATATGAGAATTTGTACATGTTTTGTAGCACTCATTAAATACATAAGTGGTGGATGTCTCTTATCTGTCACTTTTGAGAACTCCAGAATGGTTTGTACTAAAATAAATTAACTCAAGTTCTCCAGTACATTTCAGCCTTTGAGTCGTGCTGCTCTGACAGATGTTTTGCCGTCAGCGCTGTATTGCTAACCACTGTCAGACAAATTGGGAAGAGAGAGTACCTGAGAGCCAGGAATGCACAGGGAAAGAACTGCAAAGCAAAAGAAGTCTTCTGGTAGGGATGGAGGGGGCGGAAAGAAAAGTTTTGCAACAATTTTCCCCTTGATTGTTGCTTCCTATGGTTAAGGAAATATGAAACTTACTGAATGTAAAAACTTGTGTAAAATTTGAAAGCATAGGGATTTTTGTGGGTTTGTTTTTTAACCCGTTCAGTATATTTGGTAAATTATCATAAGCTTTTTTGGAAATTTATTTGTGTCTGGTAGAGCTGTGGCTTTCTGTCCTGGTAGCTAGCAGCTAGTTTTCAAGCGCAGTCTGGGGCAACTTTTTCTCTAGGGGGCCCGTAGATCCTTGCTCTGCAGGTTGGTAAGAACTTACTAACACTTTTCTTTCCAAGACCTACAAAATGATATGGTCAGATTTTTTTTCAGATATGCAATGACTTTTCTATTCAGAGGAGGAAAACAGATGTGATTCATGGATTGTAGTTTACCTTCCTGCTCTAAACAGATGTATCATATGTCATTTTTGTTTGTCCTTCTAACAGTGCCTCTTCCTTGCTAGCTATTCTTCTGAAGGAGGAAGAATACTTCTTGTGTCAAGGAGTATTTTGTTTTTTTCAAAAGTTTTTAGCCAAAATCCTACTCATGTTGTTCCTTTTCCTTTGAAGTTCTCTCCACATTCAAACTTGATTGAGTGTGGAGAACCTCTACATTCCAACCAGCACAGACCTCTACATTCATACCTGATTTCGCATAGCTCTGCAGCAGGACTAACATACTCTCCTGTAAATGTTCCTAAGGACATTGTTTGGCTATAAGTGTGAAAAAATTGTTATTTTTCCTTGTGTATTTCCCAGTACGCCAGTCAGACATCTTCCTATATGTCTCTGCTTTTTTGACGTTTCTCCCTCCCTGTGCTTTTTCTGATAACCTTCAGTCCTTCTTTTAATTCTTTTAAACCCTCATTCCTTTTACTTTCTTCATTCTTAGATGCCAAAGTTGATCTTTGTGTTTTTTAATTTAAATGGCTGATGCTGAACTCAAAGAAAAGTATCTCTTAACGCCACCATGGCTGGATGAGGGACCTTGGGTTTCTTGGCCAGGATCTCTCATCCGTGAGCTCAAACACCTTGGAGGTGACTCCAAACTTGTTCCCACGAACCTCAGTCGAGGTATTCTCTGTTGAGAAGATATCCTGGAGTTTCCTGCTGTTTTGATTATGAGGCCACTTCCAACCTCTGTCCTTCCCACCGTTTCTCTCAGTTCTGAGCATTTACATGGATGTTTCTGGAATGTGACGACTCAAACACAGGCAGCAGTTACCTAAGGGTAACACCCCTACCTAGGGGTGTTACTTAAATGTTTGGTCCTTTGTTGAGTTCTGGCCTTCTCAAAGCCAATGTGGCAAAGAAACAACCTGCGGCTCTTTCTGCTCTCTCCTGGGATGTGTCCTCCAATGTGGAAACAGATCTGAGGAATCCTGCTCAGTTAACCTGAGCTTTAGCAGTTGCCCAACTTGTGCTCAGTGCAAAGCCCAAGCACTGGTGCTGCAGGGCCGTTCAGCCAGACTCATCCTTCTGTTCAGATACTCCATGGTTGGAGTTCCAGCCATGTATATCCAAGTATAGTGGCAGCTACTTGGAGAGAAACTGCAGTGGGAAAGGCGTCTTTAAACCTGGATCTCAAAAGCAGTGGCTCTGGAAAGCCCTTGTGAAGACTTCACTGCTGCTGGGAGGCTTTTGTCTTTGCCGTGGACAGAAAGGCCCTTTGTTACCTGTAGTTTTTTATTCTGAAAGCTCACAGTGCTTCCAGCCTTTTCCGAGGTAGGCAAGGAGCCCATAAAACTGACATTTCTCCCAGTTTTCACACTGGTATTGATTTTTCTAGTTATTTATTGAAATTATGAAGGGGAAATTCTTATCTAGGATAAATAACGGTAACTCACATGATTCAGTCATTTTGCTAGGAAACTCGACCTTTGATTGATAAGTTTGTCTTACAGTTTTATGGTAGACAATCAGGAGGCCAAAGCACCTGAACACTGTCTCATGTACTCAACCAGGGGTCTGACGCTGTATGTTGTCTGCAAGTATTTTCCTTTCATATATAAAAAAACAAGAGAATGAAACTTGTCTGTTATTAGAAAAATGTAATCATGATTCCAAATGTGAACTGTCAATGCAATTTTCACAGGAATTACCAGATTTGATCTTCTTGGAGACTTTGGGAGGTTTAACTGGCTGGGGAACTTCTATATCGTGTTGTCTTACAACTTGCTTTTTGCTATCGTGACGACGTTATGTCTGGTCAGAAAGTTCACCTCTGCTGTCCGAGAGGAGCTCCTGAAGGCCATAGGTAATAAGAGTGACAACTTAGTTTGTGTTTTATCTGTTCCTGTTTTTTCCAGCATGAAGTTAGGTGCTGCAGTTAAAGTTCTGTGCAACTCACAAAGCTGCTTGTTTTCAGGCAGGTTTCAAATATTGTGCTGTCCCCATAGCCTACATTTGAAACGAAGAATAACTTTTAGGATTTTTTGTTTGTTTAAACCCACTTATTAATTCTATAAAAATATCTTAGTGGAAATCTTAGCTGCCTTGTCATGATGTTTTTCTTAAGATCTGCTTGTTCAGAAAATCAGAATATTTGCAATTGGCTTGAGTAGAACCTCCAGTTGAAAAACCAGAGCGTGAGGTAGTCCAGAATGGTCAAATTGTGTATTTGTGGTCCGAAGAACTTCAATGTGACCATGCAGGAAAGGTTGGACATGATAAATCCATAGAGTAGAAAATGTACGATCTTCCTGTGCTGTTTCTAAACATCATCTCGACTAATCAGTGAAGCTTCCTACCTCTCCAGGCTCCTAGAGCCAGGCCTTGCTGAAAGCCAAAGGGTTGGGAGTGAAGCTTTACTAGCAGGTGCTGACAACCTTGTCCATGCCCAGGCTGCAGGGCCTGAAAGATGCAGGCACTTGGCTTCAGTGCTCCCTGCTTTCCAGAGTTGGGAGCATGGGGAACAACATCGAAGCACTTCCCGGGATGCACCTCAGCTGGGGGCAATTAAATGTTTTAAAAGGTTTGCAATTCTACTGGAAAGTCATTTTGTAGAATCAAACCTACTAAACTGGAAGTGAAATACAGAGCCCTACTGATACAGTACGGCTAAAATAGAATTCTTATTTTTTTAAAGTTTTGGGGGAAGATATTAGGTGTAACTCTGTCCATGGATTTCATGCTGTATTTTCAGGGAGTTTGCATATTGGCCAAGATAGAATTATGCAAGTCTATAACAGATGAATCAAGGTCTTCTCGTAAAATGAACTTAACCAAACCTTGAGAGTTAAGTCGGACAGATCATACCACGTCATGCATCAGTTTTTGTCGTTGTTTTCGATATTTAAACAGTTTAGAGAGGGCTTGTTTATCACAAATGATCTTAAAATCAGCAGTGGGTGCTTCTCAGAAAGGTGCTGTTTAAATTATTTCAGGATGTTCTTTGGGCCTGTGGTGTTGATGGACAGACTAAAGAACGGAGGAAGAATTGCAGCTCTCAGCTGCTAAATCTGGCATTAAGGCAGTGTAAAGTCAAGCTTCTGTCTCTTCTATGTTTTGGTAAAACAAGTCCATTTTAATGGACTCTTCCCGCTTATAACACAAGTGATGGAATTTCCTGGAAGTGTTTCATTTTTGAATCAAAAAAATCAGTTCTGGTCTTCCATGGAGACCTTCCCCACAAGGTAGAATTGAGTTTGTCTGCAGTATACTTTGGTTGAACACGTGCATGAAACGTAAGAATCCTAACTTGTCCTTATTCCTTGTCATGTTTTGCAGGATTAGATAAACTTCATCTATCAAACAATCCAAGAGACTCGGAGGCAAAGCCCTCTGCAAACGGGCATCAGAAATCACTGTGATGAACAATCATCTGCACTCAACAGAGCTGAAGACACCAACCTCACGTGGCATTCCCGTCATCTCATCAACCTTTCTGTCTTGATTTGACTTGGTGATAGTGTGGGTCCAACCTTGTCTCCTCTTTGGACGCTGTTGGGCTTCTGAGGCAGTTGGCTGTAGCAGCTCCCCCTTTCCCCAGTTACCTTGTGGTCTGTTTGTTGATTTTTCCAGTAAGTTCATGCAGGAGGTGCCTTGAAGACTGGAAGCTGAAGAGAAAAATGCATTCCTTTTTATTTTTTTTGACAGTTTCATATCTTTAGGGATTAACTTGCTACCATTTAAGTGCACGGTACCTCCTGTTGTAATACAGAAACAGCTATAAAGACTTGAGTTTAAGAAAAATAATGCACTTGAAGTCCAGTATGACCCTTACTGGAAATGTGAACTACCCAGAGCAGGTCCCCTTGGCAGCAAGTGGACAGTTCCCCTAAGAACTGTTGCAAAACCAAAGTAACTGGTGGAGGTGCCAGTTCCCTTGGTGAAGGACTCAGCAAGTTGCTCGTAGTCAAGCATGAAGCTTCCTTGGAAGTCAAGTATGAAGCTTCTGGTGTCTGCAGCTTCCAGTTCTTAGCCCTGAACGGCCCTTGTTTCCCTGTAGTCAGACAGTGTCCTCTCGAGCAGAGTGACCCACGGGATGAAGATTAAACTTCAGTGTTAAATCTGAGCCTGGCTTTGTAAAAAGCTGCGTAGCCCCCTAGTCGCAGCCTGTGTGGTTTTGTGAGCCGTGGAGGTTGGTGCCCTTCCAGGGACACCCCAGCCCTCAGAGATGCCCGTCAGCTTCTGCCTAGCAGCAGTGCTTGGAGTCAATGCAAGCAGCGTAGGCCTAGGAGGCTGCAATTGCACAGGTGTTTTTTTTTTACAACCTTTTCATTTGAAGTAAGTTATTTCTCTGAATTTATACTATAGTTACCGGGACTTCTGTTCTGTGGCATAACCCAGTATCTTTCACCAGTCTGTTTTGTAATGTATAGCCATGAACATGTGTATAGGGCTGTGTGTGTAGGTAGCGTAAATTAAATTCTAAGCTTGTAGAACTGACGTAGGTTGCTTGGTGAGTACCACTCACGTGTTCCACCTGGGTAGTATAAATTCCTGCAATATTCCAAGTCAGCTGCTCTGAGGCTGAGCTTCAGGATGGCCTCAGTGGGTGGTAAAGCCCCTTTCTTAATGTTCCTGCAGCTTTAGGAGATCTCTGAGCTGTCTGTGAATCCCAGACACCACCAGCAATCCAAGGCACCATCCAAAGGGTGTTTTCCCTTCCCTTTCTTCTGCTGCGAGTCACGGTCAGGCAGCTGCAACGGGGGCGACGCCGGGAGCTGCCGCCACGCGGGGCCCGCTCGGCCTCCCGCCCCGGCTGAGCCCTGAGCTCTTGCACTGAACCCGCCACGTGTGACGGGTGGTGTCCCCAGTGGGGCTCTGCAGGGAGAGAAGCCGCCTCAGAACCTGCCGGGCTCTTTCTCTGCACAGCCACACGGGGCTGTAGCCCTTGTTGCCGGCTGGATGTGACACGTGTGTGTGTTGGGCGTGCGGTTGTTGCTGCTGCTGTTGTCTCCTGTTTGGCCTGGAGCGTCTCACGGAGCAGCTCCGCTCTACGTGAGGCTTCCCTGGCTTTCGGGGGCCCCTTTCTGACTGGAACCGGAGTGTTAATGTAAATACTGCTGTAGTAACGTGCCGGAGAGCTGCCCGTTGTTGTGTGGCATTAGCATCAATTCAAGGCTAATTAAATTGACTCTTGGTGTGTTGTACTGAGTCCCAAAGACCTAAAGTAAAGTTGTTCAATTTCACTAAGATACACAGGCATCTCTTAAGTTGTTTGAATTTAATGCTGAAATTTTGGACAGAAATCTCTTTTTTTTTCTGAATCAGAGTTCCCCAGCAAAGAACAGGGAGCTATAATTTAAAAGTGTTTTCTTTTTTTTCTTTTTGTGTCTATTTACATTTAAAACATGAGGACATTTGTTAGGGGCATCATTCAGGTATTCAGAGCTTGGAGCCTTATGTGCTAACATTGCAGTGAAAAATAAGAGAAATGTTGAAAAATAAGAGAAATGTCCCCACTTGTCCATGCAGGTGAGAGTAGGACTAAAATTCTCCTAGTTTCTTACCAGGGCTGCTGAGCTGCAGTGTGTAAGGAGGCCAGTTCTTATTAAAGGCTTTCTGTTAGGAGCTCAGTGCACCTTGGACTTAAAGGGTTTCAGGAGGAAATGTGGAGATGGGAGCCAGCCCGAGTGCCCTCTCTGCTCATTCCCAGTAGCCAGCGATGGGACTGTTGGGATTGAGGTTTTCCTTGGCATCAGTAATCCAGGAACACATGATCCCAAGTGGAGCAAAGACCCTTCCTGCTGAGAAGCATGGAGGTTAAGGGGGACTTTAAAGCTGATTTATTTTGGGGGAGCAGGGGAGCTGTGCCTCCTATGGACTCTGTGGTCAGATCCATGGGTTGAGTGAAGATTTTACACTGAGATGCAGAGGCTGGTTGAGATTCTGTGGCTCCTGAGGTGGATTCGTCTGCAGGGAGGTCCAGGACTCCCCCGTGCTGACACTGACAGTGTTTTAGCTCAGCTGTTGTGACACCGCTGAGGCCACGACGTGTTTGGCCTGGAAATGGCACTGCTCCTGCGAGGCTCCTTGCAGACACGGCTGCTTGCAGACAGTCTCAGTGTCCGATACCCGTCACTATATCTTTTTCACAGATACATTCACTTAAATGCAAGCAACTGGTAATTCCTTAATGGATATTAACAGCACATTCCGAGTAGTTTTGACTCCTGTAGAGTCGGGTGGTCTGTACCTTCCAGGTGTGTACAGCTGAGCTTAGGAACATCGACACCTGCCTCACTTCTTATGAGGTCCGAGCTCACGAAAGCTCCATCTTCAAGCAGGTACCACACAGCAGGCCAAGAAAATGTAAACTTTTAAGTAGCTATTTGGGGCTGTGTTTTGTGTTCATAGTTCAGTACAGTGGCAGAGTTGTAGTATTGTGGGGGTTTTAAATCTAAAGCCCCCCCTTCAAAACTTGAGCTTAAGAATGAAAGGCTTGGGTGGCTGGGTGAGTTTTTGGCCTTCGTAGTGAGCTTTGTTTCCTGTGTGTGACATGAGGCTTCTGCTCGGCCCTGTTTTCCCACCTCTTCTGCAGCGCCTGTTCCACAGCGTCCCAGAAATTAAAGGATTTGTGGAGACCTTTTCTGTGTTCGGTTGCCGAGTGGCCCTTGCTGCGGAGCCAGAGGGAAGGACCCGCTTCCTCCCACCTCCCTGGGGCTGTGGGTGCCGGGGCTGCCCAGGCCCCATGGGGCAGCCCTTGGCTTCAAGGAGCCCCATGAGAAAAGGGTGGCCAGGGGGAGGACCCGGCTGCTTCCTGAGTGGCCACCCAAGGAGCCCATTTTCCTCCTGGACCCCTCTGTGAGAGGAGGCGGAGGGACCCAGCCCATCCCTGCAGCTCGGCCGGTGCTTAGTGGAGTCCGGGCAGCCTCTGGAATTGTGGAATAGCAAATTCAGGAGGAGGAGAGCCAAGTCCTGGCGCTTTACATATACTTGGATGGTTTTACAAGTCTCTCTCACCTAGGGAAAGTCACCCTAGTGGGGGCGACACGTTAAGGGTAATTGCACAGCCAGGGTAAGGCGGGAATGCTTTGGGTTCCGTTTGATCAAACAAGTGCCGATCTGAACTGTGAGCCTTTGAGGGCAGTGAGATCCTCTACCCACTGCTGCTAATATCCTGAATAATGTGCTGGCCTTGGAAAGGATGCATCCAAAGCTGCAGAGACCCTGCAGATGCCTCTAAAGGTGCAAATGCATTTGCAGCGCCCTCCAGGAGCTTATACGTTTGGTTCCCGAGTATTGAATTCACTGCAGGCACCTTGGCGGGTACCTTCTGTGGCATTAAAGCCACGTGAGGCTCCCAGCAAAGCCCCTGTCCCTCCCACGCTGCAGGGCAGCCCCAGGCCCTGGCTGCTGTTTGATGTCCTCACGGATCCGTCCCCTGCGAGAGCTTCCCGTCCCATCCGCAGGGCCCTCCTCGATTGGCCTGTTGGGTTTTAACAGTAAAGGTGACAACGTCTGTCACACGGGAAGGGGAAAAGGCCGGGAGGGAGGTGACCTGGAATGCGACTCCCAGGGCCCCCTGGAGCCGCCTCGTCCCTTGGAGGGGCAAGAAGTCAAGTCGGCCACTTGCCAAGTGCAGACAGGGAGAGGCCCTGGCTCGAAGGGCCCTGATCTTGCTGCCACTTCTGCTTGCTACCACTGAAACTCCATTTTTGTGAAAGGAAATACCTTAAATGGGTTTTTATTTTAAGCTCCTGAAATTTGGGAGCTGGTGGAACATCCTTTTTTCTAAATTTGGCCTTAATTCCTTAGCACGGGTGCCTTGGCTCGCTTTCCTCCATCACGTTGCCGAGCCATTTACCGGCTTGCTCCGTGGCATCGCTGTTGGGAATGAAGTGACTCCAGAACGAGAGACCCTGAATAGAGCGGTGACAGCGCCCACTGGCACGAAGCTTAAATAGGAGGTTGTCTCCTTATTTTTCTGAGATGCTTCAGTGGTGAAACACTCCAAACCGTTGCTTCAGAAAGAAGAAATGTATGGAAATCAACAGCTTGTTATCCAGAAAACCCAGGACTTCTGTACTGGAGAGACCTCATGACTTTTTACGATGCCGATTTTGTGGTTCGTGGGGTAACAGTGCCCTGATTCCTGCTTCATAGAGGCCTCTGAAGTTGTGAATGTAGCTCTGCTTTGCCAACGGAAACCTGGGCACATTTGCTAGTTCTCTATTAATTATTGTATTTTTCTAAGTAAATTTCTACTTCATTGCTAAAACATACACTTTATATCCCTGGCTTTGAATGTGTAACAAACACAGCAGCTGGCTCCAGGCAGGCACAGTGAGAGCAATGTAATCATTTTATCCTGTAAAGGATGATAATTCTGGAATTGTTAAATCCAACCTCCTTAAGAGCTGTACCAACAGGTCTTTCAGACCTTTCCAGGCCAAGGCTGCGCTCAGGGAATCCCAGGTTTCAGAGGCTCTGGCTGTCCCAGTCTTCATCTAATCCTGACATTTTGCTGCTCCCCTTCTGGCCCTCGTCCTTCTCTCTGTTGCTGTAAAATGACGGTAAGAATCATAAGAAAAAGCAGTGTGACGGTGGCACCTGCCCTGTGAACTGCAGGGATACCTTGAGCTCCCTCAGGAAAAGGCTCTTGGTGCTCCATGACCTCTTCCTCATGGATGTTCCCACTTTGGCTTTGTTACTGAGCCGCCCCGTGGTGGAACCACCACCTCCCAAGCTCCTGACCAGCTCCGTAACAGAGGGTCGAGTTGAGCCCCTCTTTCCTGTTCCAAAAGTTATGTGGCCTCTTACTGCTCTGAGAAAGGGGGCAGGAAAGGATGTTTAAGTCATGGATTGGAAGTCTTTAACGTGTCAGAAAATACATTAGACACAGCAAAAGAATGGTGCTGAGTACTAATATGGGAAAGCAGAGAGGCTTAATGGGGATGGGGCCGCGGAGAAGACAGAGGGTCTGTGTGCAGGGAACTGCTGGGAGCTGCACAGGGTCATTCCACAAACCCCGTGGCCAGTGAGTGTTGGTGTCACCAGCCACCGCCTGGCCTGCACTGCAGCTTGGCCTGCACTGCAGCTAGTTACTTTTCTAGACTTGAGCTTTTAGAAATAATTGCGCACAATCTTAACCTTGTTTGAGGCTGCACGACGCAGTTAGGCCTCTGCCCTTGGCCTGGTTTGTGCTCCAGGGTCTCTAGGAGCTGGCAGCGTGTTTATTTTGCTTCACGTGAATGTACCTTGGAGGAGGGTAAAACACGACTGAGAATTCCCTGGACCATCGTTAGTGCTGCTGTCATAGGAAACTGTTGCAATGTAACATCTGCCCTCCAGACCCTTCCTGGCTTATTTTAGGCCATGCAGAAACAAACAAATGACATAAAAGGAGAAATGCTGTATCAGGTTCTGTGCTGTGGATGCTTCCCTGTGATACAAAGCTGTATATAATAATTGCCTTTTTAGCTAGTTGGCATTTTCATGTGGAAAGCTGTAGTAGCGTGTTTCTTTTCTCTTCATTTGAGATGTTGCAGTTTTCAGTGTTTTGTAGGAAGATTTTTTTTTACTGTGTTTTCAATAAAGTCTGATTCACAGTGGGGTTTTGATGCTCTTTCATTTCATGCCACTTCAGTGCCCAGGGAGCTACCTTGGTCAGAGGCCTTCAGGGGGAAGAGGCAGCCACGTAAACGGCTCCGGTCTGCGATGCTGCGGACACAGATTCCATCTCTTGCCCCAGTGGCGCTGGGGAAGGGGGGTGACAGTGGGAGGATGTCGCTGAAGATGCTCTAAGACCAGACACGAAACTGAATATGAAAGGAAAACAACTGGGAAGCAGCGTTGCCTCTTCTAAATTTTATTTTGGCATCGTTGTCCATTAAGAAAATCACGTTTTTATTGGAAAAATGGGCTCTGGAGTTAGAAATAAAATCTGCTGTCAGCTAAATTTGGTTAGGTAGACCAGTGGAGGATGTTTACATCAACATTCAAGAATCTTCTTTTGATAATATGAACGGCATAAAGGACAAATGTGTCTTTCTCCCAGGGAAAACTCTTCGAATGCTTGAAGACAGGTGTGGTGAAACAAGTGTGAACAAGAGAGCAGCACCGTCTGCCGGGAAAACGGGCTGCTCTTCCCGGGAAGTGCAGAGGGAAGGGGGAGAGCGGGACTCAGGGGCATGATGCAGATGGGGCAGTCAGCGATGTCCTGCCGAAACGCCTGAGTAAGAAGAGCAGAGCAAAAGGAGTCAGGAACAAGCTGTGGCCCACGGAATCGGGGAGGCAATGACAGAAACAATAATACGAGGGTTGAAAAGTATTGTTAAGTTATGCACATGAAGTGCGTTTTCATTACACTAGTAACACTTGAACTCTTGGGGCTCTTTAGCTAATTAACAGAGAAATGCTGCTTCAGTAGGAGCAAACCACAGTTTTAAAATCTTTTTTAGAAATTTGGAACAGTTGGACTAAACTAAGAACAGACAGATATGCTGAAAGTCTCATGCCTCTAAATTGATGATGTTGCTAAATGCAAAACTATCTAAATTTAATAATAATAGCAGCACTAACTGACCTGCATCTGTACCTTCTCCCAGTCGGGTTTGCCTAGTAACATTTCTTTTCCTTCCACCTGCTGAAACGCATCTCGACTTGCAGCTAGAGCAGAATCGATTTCAGAAAAAAACCCATCGAGATTTTTATCATAGGAGCTCAGCAGCCGCCTGCTGATGTGTTGAACCTGAAAAGAAAATAAATGGTGAGTGGAGCAGAACTCTGAGTTATTTCTGGGTACAGGCGCAGATATACGCTACATCTGTGCGTGAGTAATGCGGGAGTGGACAAGGGCTGGGATTAATTCCACGCTCTCCCCAGGTTTTGTTTCCTCCTACGCTCGGCGTCCCGGGGCTGCCGAGGGACCTGGAGCAGCTCCCTGGGGCTGATGGAGCAGGGAGCATCACTGGGAGCACCACCGGAGCAGGGAGTGTGTCCAAGCCCACGCCGCCTTGCCCAGCTGGAACAATCTGGCCTGAAATCCACGCTCAGAGTGGCTACTGTTGCCATCAGCACCTCAGTGGCTGAAGGGTGTGTAGGGAGTCCCACAAGTCTTAGACTCGTCCTCTGAGACTCTTCTGGAAGGGTTGCCATAGTTCTAAGAAAATGGGAGAGGTGTCAAATGGGAGTCCCTCTACATTTGTTCTTTGGAGTGCCGACTTAACGGGAAAAAGGCCGAGCTGCCTGGTCAGGGAGCCAGGAGCAGGCAGGGGTGGAATTGGAGGCCACGGAGCTCGGTGGGAGCTGGGCCTTTCCTGCCCTGTTTCTCTCCCCTCCTCCTGCAGCTCTTCCAGCTCTGGGACCACTGCTGCGCTGCCCCTTCCAGCACGGAGAGGAGGGGAAACCCACAGGGATATTAATATTAATACAAATAATATTTAATATTGAGATATTAAACTTTGAATTTCCCATGCCTCCCCCTCAAACTATGAAAAGCCTCTAGCAGCACCTTCATATGATGTGCAAATACACAAGTGTCTCCCACAGAAACTCAGACTGTTTCTCCTTGAAGATTCAAGGACAAACGTTAGAAGTGTCCAAATAAGGGACTCTAACAAGCAGCACAGGTTTCCTTCTTGGAGTCAACACTACCTCTTCTTTTTATTTTACTGACTTGGTATTTTTATTATTATCATGACTTAAAATATCTGCAAATGGCTTTTAGAACAGGCTGTGGAAAGGAAGTGTCCATTCAGGTTTAGCTGTATTAGCAGATAGAGCCGGTGTAAGAGCACAGTGCAAGGAGGAGCAACGCCCAGGGGCGCCAGGTTCAATGAGCAGCGGGAGCTGAAGGTCTCTGTGGAGATGGAGGGTGAAGCTCTGCGCCTTGCCCAGGGCAGAGGGGCGCCCGGGGCTCCCTCGGGACCCTTCCTGGCAGGGAAACCAACCCGCCTGGCACAGAGGCCCCAGGGCAGAACAGGCACCCGGTGCTGCTAACAGCCCCACAGCGTGGGATTCAAATGCCACTCGAGTTATTAGTTTGTCTTGAGTGTTTTAATGTGATTATGTATTTCTACTAAAAATTTACTAGCAATGTTACTAGCAATGTTAATCTAAACTGTTTCACCTAGGCTGAACTGTCCCACATTGTAGTGTGACCTACTCTTCCTTGCTTCATTTTTAAAGCTACTGACTTCACAAAGAATAGGAGAAGATTAGATCTAAACCTTACATCACTGCTGCTTTCTGTTCACCATTTCCAGCCTGATTTATGCTTGGTCTTCATTTATATTGGTATCACACGTGAACACCTGCATGGTCTCCATGAGAGAGCCAGGGGGGGTGAAGGAAAGTCAGAGCTGCCCTTCCTGTCGCTTCCACCCACAGCTGCTGGGGTCCCACCCTGGAGAAAAGTGACACTTTTAACTGGGCCTTGTGCAAAGGCAGGGCCAGCCCAGGAGCAGGTGGGCAGCCCCGGGACAGGGATCAGGGAGACTGGAGCCCAAAGGAGCCCAAAGCAGAGGGGCCCAGGCTGCCCCACTCTGCGCTCACCCTCTGCTTTCCCCTTTCACTAAATGCTACTGAGATTCCCTTTTCCAACAGAAACTGTGAACAAGGAGGAAACCCCTCCTGTTGCCTCAGACAGGCATCTATGAGGTTCCTCTGCTGCTAGGGTAGTTCCTCACGTGCCTGGAGCTCCTCCTGGACTTTCTGCTGCATGACCTGGCCCACCCCATACCCACCGGGCAGCAAATGAAGTCTAAGGGTGGAAAGAAAAAACTCAAATTTATCCCCAAATTTATACTAATTGGCATTATCAGTATTAAGCAGCCGTGTGAACAGTGGTCAGAAAGCAATAAGCATTTTTTACAGTTTGGGTGTTATATACTAGAGTGCAATTTAAACATGTACTGGGTGAACTAATGTGGAATTTAAATGCTAAACCCATCTGTGTTTCAATCAATAATACTGATTTTTTTTTCCAGAACTGAATCCATTTCTAAAAACACCAGGCCTCTATCTTCTCTGTCTGTGACTTCTTAAAACCAAAATACCATGGCAGAAACCAAGGCTCTGCCATCCTGTACCCACACCAGCAGCCGCAGAGCGGCACAAAACGATGATAAAATAAAGCGAGGAAACAAAGCAGGGAGCTGAACTTTGCTCACGGGGAAGCCTTTCTAAGTGATCCAGTGTCAGCAAATTGCTTACTAATGTGTTGACTTATGGCAGCCCTCAATAGTAAAATGAAAAGGCTGGAATTTACAGCGTATCAATGCATCAGCTGATAAGCTTTTACTGGTTTAATATCCTCCTCGTTTTGCTGCTTGGAGCCGCTTCAAGTTAGCAACAGAATGTTTGCCATGGCCCTGTGATAAAGGAAGTCAAAGGACTAAGCAAATTCGAGGGCCATTATAGTGTTTGGGGAGATTTAAATTAAAATTGTTGAGAGGAATCGCGGGGAGGGGGAGGAGGCAACTGAAGTCGGCCACATGTCACGAGGGACTTACCTGCCTTCCCGGACAATGGGAAGAGTTTTAGCGGAGTTGCAGATAGGGTAATGCGTTTGGAAAGATTTAACTGCGCCAATAAAGGGCCACGCTGCAGTTAAATGACATTTGCAAGTGACATTTATAGGCAGGATCAAAGAAATCCAGTGGGCAACACGCTGCCTGGTAAGAGCACACTGCTTTCAGTGCAGTGGTGTTAAAAAGTAACAGCGTTTGGTTGCAGTGACCCCCTGTGTCTCCTTTGATCTAAATTATTAAAAATTTGATTGGTATAATAAGAGCTGTATCCCCTTGAAGCAAGTAACGTGCATGTTTCCCAGTACTAATATTTCAGGTGTTATTTCTTATTTTGTGACATTTATTCAAGAGTATGCAACTTGACATTTAGCCCTTGTGATCCTTCGAAGCGAGGTAGGGTTATTAAAAATCTAACTGCTAACTTCTGATTTTCCTTTCCCCACTTGTCTTGCCCTTTGGTTGTGCTAACATTTCAGGAGTGACATTTGAAAAGCACAGCCCAAGTCAGAGAGAGAGAGAGAATTCATTCTAGAAAAGCTTTCTAGCATCTGGGAATGGATAGCTCCCTGTGCAAAAATACCCCCGTGTTTTCATTAAGCAGCACTTAGAAGTGTAAGAGCTAAGAGCAGGAAAAACTCATCTCCAATTCTCACTTGAACACCACTATGAAAAACAAGCATATATCCTTTAATCAGAAATGGTGGTAAAATCCTTGAGACCTGACTAATCCATGTGAGGACACCTTATAAATTTCTTTTT